CACGTCCTACCTTCCAGAAAGTGGTCGCTTTTTGTTCAGAGAGTTGTTGCTATTCTTTTCTTTGATCTCCTGTTGAGTTTGTAGGTGTTCAGAATGGTTTGATCCCTATCTACCTGAATTCCTGGGACCAGACGAAATTTAGGTCTCCTGCTCCTCTGCCATCTCGCTCCTCCCCCAATAGTCAATCTGTCTTATTCTTCCTTATTCCCTTAATCTCCCTCCCCAGAGTCAATCACTTTTATTTGTGTTTTCTGGTTTGTATCTCTACATTTCTAAACAGTAGGCATGTACACTGTTTTTCTCTCAGCACTGGTGAAAATACCTAGCATATGGTAGACAGTTACATCTTTATTGAATGCTGGGATTCTGTTATTTCTTGATCTATCAATTAGCTATTACCCCTTGTTGTGGAAGATAAGTATTTAGCACTGCTGTCCTCACTCACCACGGCAAACCTCCACTTTCCTCTGTCTTCCAGATTTGTTTACTTCAGAAGTCTTTGTTGAATCTATATTCTAGCTATATAAGGATTATTACTGTGGAGGCAATAAAGGAAAGAAATTCCCATATCTATCTATCTATCTATCTATCTATCTATCTATCTATCTATCTATCCATCTATCATCTATCTATCTATCATCTATCAATCATCTGATATATCCCATTTTGTTTATTCATTCATCCATCAACGGACACTTGATGAATAATTCTGCTATGACCATGGGTGTAAAAATATCTCTTTGAGACACTGCCTTCAATTCTGTTGGGTTTATATCCAAATGTGGAATTGTTGGATCACATGGTAAGTCTACTTTAATTTTTCAGGATCTACCATACTGTTTTTCACTTTATATTCTCACTCTGAGTGCACAAGACTTCCAATTTCTCCACATCCTCACCAACATGCACTCTTGTTTTTATTTTTTTATAATAGCAGTCATCATAACGGGTGTGAGGTTGTATCTCACTATACTTTTGATTGGCATTTCCCTAATGATTAGTGATGTTGAGCATCTTTTCATATGATTTTTTGTCACTTATATATTGTCTTTGGATAAATATCTAAGTCCTTTGCCCATTTTTAAATTAGTTTATTTGGTTTTTGTTGTTCTTTGTATAAGTTCTTTATATATTGTTGATGCTACCCTTTTATCAGATACATGATTTGCAGATATTTTCTCCCATTCCACAGGTTGCATCTTCATGGTATTGATTGTGTCCTTTGATGCACAGAATTTTTTAATTTTGATGTAGTCCAGTTTATTTAGTTTTCCATTTGTTATTGCTGTTGTTTAGTTTCATATCCAAGAAATCACTGCCAAATCAATGTCATGAAGCTTTCCCCCTATGTTTTCTTCTAAAAGATGTATAGCTCTAATCTCTTTGTCTTTGTGTCAACCTTGTCATCCAAACTTTCTGTTGAGTTTATTTCACGTTCCTATTTTTAGTTTCTAAGAGCTCCCATTCTTGATTGTATTTTTGTAGAAGTTTCTTATTTGATAGATGGATATTCTCTGATCTTTCTGATATTACCAATTTAAAAAATGTATCCCTATATAATTGTTTTTGTTTTCTATTAATCTCCCCATCTACACCCTTTAGTTTCTTTAAGTCTCCTTCCTCAATTGTCTGGTGATACTTTGTTGCACATATATATATCTAAGGAATTCATGACATTAATTAGCTGCTGATTGGAAGTGGCTTTATAGAATGCTAGAGCTTGTCAGCTAGTAGGATAATTAATTTAGGATAATTGGGGATAAATGAGCTTCATTTGGGGGTGGGATTAGCTCCAAATGTAGATTCCTTGGAGGTTTTTCCCTGACCTTGGTCAGTTTCTCCAGTTAAGAATCCTCTAATCTCCCTGCTGGGGTGGAATGGGGCCCAGAGGTTAGTAGACACTTATCCATCAGTGTTATTGCAGCCAAGCAGTACAGAGGAGCCGAGAGTCTCAAAGTTCAGCATGTGGACTTTCACTTAATTCCTCTCCTTTCTGTAGAGGCAGCTTCTTTTGTTTCCCATGGTACCTGTGAACCCAGATCTGGAGATTGCTCATTTAATTTCTCCACATGAAGCAATTTCCAATGTCTTGTTTAGGCAGAAGGCTAGATGTTAAATCAGAAAGGATTACAGCAAAATGGGGATTTGTCTGTTCCTTAAATAGACATTTAACCCAATCCTGTATTTTGATATGAGGCCGTATAGCATTCTCTCCTTCAGAGATGCCTGTTAATCATTTCTGGGGCCCTAAGGCATGGATGGACTTGCTTCTCACTAGTTTCTCAGGTAGCTCTGCTCTGTTATCACCTGCATCCCTTTATATCATCCAAAATATTGTTGCCATCATCCATCATGTGTCTGTATGAGTTTGTACCATTTTACCTTTTATACATATTTTAATTGTGTCACAGAGAAAACGGAATTGCACAAATGAATTCACCTTCATTTCCCTGTTCAAATTTGGAAAAACCATTTTTTATAATTTGAAACCCACCTTTCTAGGTTCTGTATGTTAACTGCCAGTTATAATCTCATCTCATTATATTCAATCTGTAATAATGTCAGGTGCTTCATACCAAGCCAAATAACTACTTGAGGATATTATTGTTTTAATTTAACTTTTAAGACTCAATAATTTAATAAACTCTCATATTCTGGGTTTTAATGTCACAAACTTAAACCGTCAGCCTATTATTGAATTAAATTCATATCTTTGAACTTTAAGGTTAAAAACAAAGTTTCTGCTTTACCATGTTTTAATAACTATTGGCAGAAATCTATTTCTTCAATGATTAAAAGACAGTATTAACTCTTTTAAAAGCATTTGTGCTTTAAATAGCTAACATGTTTTGCTGAATTTATAAATGGTTTCTTAACATGTTCCTTTCACTTCACAGGGTAATATTATTTCACAAGTTATACTTGGAAAAGGTAAATTAATAATCTTCTCATGACTTTCACAAACATCAAAGCACAAGGGATCTCTGCTTCTTGACAGCTCTTAGCTGTCTCTTTTCCTGGCTCTTGGCGGCCTATCTCCTGTGTCTCCTCTGATGTGTTAAGTCTAATCTACTCTGAGCTAGAAAAATCAGATAATCTCCCTTGTTAAATTCATGCTTAAAGTAAAAATAAAAGATGATCTGATTAAGGGCCCAAGAGTACAGTTTATGTGTTTTAACACATGAATGTGATGATCAAAGCAAGGAAACCATCACCAATTCCTCAGTTCCTAAATATAGACTTAGCCAATCCTGAAATCCAAAAAAGCATTATGTGGAATGTACATATGTAGAATTTTGACTCAAGAAGTCTATAAGAACTTTATGACATTACTTGATCAACATAAAATAAGGTGCAGAATCGCTAACTATGAGGGAGCATTTAAATGGCTTCTGAAATGTATTTATTGCAATAGCTCTTCCGGGTTCTCCTTTCTTCTGGTGCATGAGCTATCCCCTCCCCTCATACGAACATGTCTGCCTGTAGCTGAGGTTAAGTACCTAAACTAGCTAATTTCTGCTGTATCTTAATGATCTGTGAAGAATGGGCACACAAAATTATGAAAGTGATTTCAAAAGTTTTAAACACTCTGCTATTTGTTTAAGTTAGGATTACATTCTACAGAGTGTATGAAAATGTGTCTCTGCATGGACCTCCCCATATTTGAGGCTTGCATGTAAATGATTGCCTCAGGAAACGTTTTTTCAAAAGTATATGCAAGTTGCCCTCTATAATTTTCCATATCTCAATAACTTAATATTTAACAATGTAGGTGCAATTGACATGTTTGTCTTCTGTTACACGCAGATGAACTGACAGACCTTGGGCTGAATGACGCAGCCCATCAAGGTGAAGGATTTAGTTTGGAAAGAGATTTGGTCAGCCAGACAACAGCCACACAGGATAAATCACAGGAGGAGTTTGGAACAATAAATAATAGTGTTTCTAAAGAAATATGGTTGGATTTTGAAGACTTCTGTGTATGTTTTCAGTAAGTATAAATTTTTTGTGTGTATTAAATATAGCGGATATATAAGCCATTAATTTTTAGCTATCATTCAAAAGAGTTAAACCAATATTAGTCTGATGTTGATATAGTATCCAGTAAAAATGTTAGAAAGAAAAATAGGTGAGCTGATTGCCCACATAGAATAATAATAGTCAAACAGATCTCAGGTCAGTTTCAGCTCATCCTCAGAGACTTATTTGTTGATGAAGATAAAGATAGTTTATTTACTGAGAGGGATCATTTTTGTCTCTTTAGGACAACTAATTCAATGCAGTTATTATTTTTCTTCAGCTTTATTGACATATAATTGATAAACTTGTAAAATATTTAAAATGCACATGGTGATGAATCGATATACCTTGTGAAAGATTCTCCCCATCAAGTTAACACATCCAACGCCTCACACATTTGCCAATTTGGGGGGGGGCGGCGGGACATTTAAGTTCTACTCTCCTAGCAAATTTCAGTGATACAAACTGGTATTATCAATGTTATACATTAGATCCTCAGACCTTATTCATCTTATAACTGAACATTTGTATCCATTTACCAACCTCTTCCTATTTCCCCCACCCTCAGTCCCTGGCAACCATTGTTCTCCTGGGTTGTTATTATATATATATTTTTAAATTTTCATCTGTCTTTACCTTGTTCTGCCTATAATTACTTGATTCTATGAAACTTAGCATGTAGTACTAGTCCATTGTGAATGATGACAGTAACCTGTTATAAATAATGTTTTTCAGGAACATATATATTTTTCACAAGCCAAATTCATATTGCCTTAACTTTCAAAAAACAGAATTCAAGGTAAATATATTATGATCTCTTTTCTTTGTTTTATGTAAACTTTTGATTAAATCAGGCTAGTGAAAAACACCTTCAAATCTATCAAGCATTTCTAAATTTATAATTATATTAACAAAATCAAATCCTAGAGTCTTTTACTGATCTCTTATCCAGACAATAAGTAAAATTCTGCTACCTTGTATCTCCAAGTATGATTTATCGGATTATGTTCAATCCTGAGCTGCATTATTATGTAAATTCACGTTAAAAATATTTGATTTATGAATAACTGAAGCACAAATAAATTCACTATATTTGATTTCAATTAGTCTATTGAATTGCATGCTATTCCTAAAACAACAGCACATTCTACTACAATTTCTGCTATTTTTGTCCATGTTCTTCCCTCTACATGGAGTCTATTCCCCTTCATGTTTATTGCTTTCATCTGGCTAATGCTAGAAGTCTTTCAGAACAGCATCCGTGTCCTTGAACCTGTGAGACCTCCTTCCCTGGCCACAGAGTCTAGGTCAAGTACCCTGACTCCATGCACTCTGTGTGACCTGTACTTACCCTCCTTGGTCCCAAAGGCCTGATTACTTCTCATGCCCCTCCCCCCACCCACCCGCTTGATGTCAACATCTTAAGAAGGACTCTGTCCTTTTGTGTACTCTTAACAACACTGGTCCTGGCATGAGGCACGGACTCAATAAAAAATTCTTGACTGAATCAATTAACAAATCTCACAAATTGTGTGGCATTTTGGGGAAGACTATGAAACATATTCTAGGGAACTGGATTGTATTGAAACTCTTATGTTGCTTGTAGGGGGCCATTCAAGCCCCTGATGATATTATTTATTTATTTATTTATTTTAATTTTTAATTTTTAAAATTTTTTTATTCTTATGTTAATCCCCATACATTACATCATTAGTTTTAGATGTAGTGTTCCATGATTCATTGTTTGTGTCAAGCCCCTGATGATAAAGCCACATCTCTATAAGGGGGGGGAAGAAAGAAGTATTGGAGATGACTTTTCTCGTTGCACTCGTATTCGATGAAAATGCAGGCAGGGAAAACCTTTTGAGCATTTTTCAAGAGGTGCTCTGTAGCCGGATGTCTGCTCTGAAAGTAAGGATCAGATCTGTAGTAGGGCCTGGGGGGAAGGTAGCAGGGAGAAATCGTCAACCTAGCTCTGGAGTTTATCTATAAAAACACGCAGAGGAATGCTTTGGCTTTATGAAGATAACAACACTGCTAAGCAGGAATAACCGAACCCAGAGAATGCTGTGAGAATAACATACCATTTACAGGTCGCTGTGGCATATATCCATATTCAGACTGTGGGCAATAATAAGATGAAGTCATTTATGGTTGCTTACTCTGTTGCTGGCCCCGCACTAGGTTCTTTATTGTATTAATTCTGCATAGCAAGTCCTATAAGAGGACTATTATGATCAGCATTTTGCAGGTAAGGAAACGGAGGCAGGTCAAGGCTGAGTGAATTGCCCAGGACCACCCACCTGGGAAGTGGCACAGGGATCCTGAGAATTGTGCCTGACGTGGACCCTGTGCCTTGTCACTGGTTCGCCCCTCTCACTAGGCTCACCAGGCTGGTGGCTCGGAGCCAGGCTGCCTGGTTTTGAATCCATGTTTCATCCGGGGTGGGATCTGACTAAGCTCAGTCCTCTTTGCCTCAGTTTTCTCATCTATAAAGTGATTGCGGTAAGAGCCCTATAGATAGAGTTGAGAATGTATGTAAAACACTTAGAAGAACGCCAATCATTAGCAAGGGGTAATCAGTGTTGGCTGTCATTGTTCGTAAAGGCAGTTTGGTTATGAGTTTGTTATACACCACTGTCCTAATACATGTGTGTATGTGTGTAGCACAATGGGCAACTGTTCTTTATTCTGATCCTATTTTTACAAACCGATGTAAATATAGCTTTTTTTTTTCCTTTTCAAGTCTCAGCTTGGCAAAATAAAATGATAACAATCCTTCTGAGTCCCTTCCTTCCCCTGAATTTTTTTTTAACATCAATGGTATGAGAAAACAATAATTTTTTCTTAGAGGGCACTGGAATCCAAACTTAGCAGCGTTTGGGATGGCCTAAAAGGAAGGACTGGTTGTGGTCTGAGGCCAGGCATTCCTGATGTTAGCGGCCACAGACTGCCAGCTGAGCCCTAGGCCTCTTCCAGAACATTCCGTAGATGTTCCATTGGTGCTCAGTGTGTAGGTGAGGCAGGGGGCTCCCAGAGGTGCCCTGTGCAGGCACCAGAGCAGAGTACTTCCATGTGACCTCTAGGGCCACACTGTCCCTAAATTCTCAGACTCTCAAAAATGGCAGCAAATGAGCTCTGTGCAGAAACTCCTCCTCCAGCATGTGCACTAGGCTGGCAAAACCAAGCTTCCTGCATAATTTTAGAGAGCGAATACTTGAAACAACTGTCTTTATAACCAACATGTGGCAGCCAGAAAGAACCAAAGAAGACAAATGGCTAATGCTTACTATTGAAAAATATTGAGGGAAGCAACGGTTATGTTTTATCGAGCATTTCCAGCAATCTTGTCATACTTGATTAAATAACAAGGTTGGTTTTTTCACAATATGACTAGAGATTTTTCTTTCATATTTTAATTGTTTATTTAAATATCGTTATAAAATAATATGAAAGCTTTTAATGTATAATAGCAATGACATTAATTTAACACACTTAACCATATGCCATCAGTCAAAATTCACCAAGCAGTGGAAAGGCAATAATAGTCTCAAAGACCAGCCCAGGAGTTGGTAAATAGATATACCTACTCTTGACTCTCAGCTTTGCTACTTGCAAACTCTGTGACCTTTGGCAAATTACTTATTCTCTTTGTGTTTCAGTTTCTTCGTCCATGATTATGGATATCAATAGTACCCATATAGGATGGATGGAGTTCATGTTCATGTAACCCTTACGTGGCTGTCCTATTTTGCTCAGTACTGTGTTGCAACTTCAAAACAAAAATCCAGTCTGGTGCATTAGTGTGCAATGGCTGTATTTCTGAGGATCTTGTAAAAAAAGAAAGAAAGTGTTTGTATCACATAGCACCATGTAAAATACCTTAATACAACCCATTAGACATTTCCATTCTCTGCTAAAGTTACTCTGTGGCCTGTCTATTATCAGGGACCCATATTCTCTGAGCACTGCTCAGCCTCAAGCCCAGTCTCCTCCACTTGTTATTTCTGGAGCAAGCATATCCTTTTTCTTTGCTCATGGAGAAGAGTTTTGACTCTTTCTGATAGGGCAGCCAATCTCACACAGGTCCTATAGACCCAGCTTCCGTAGACTATAGCCAACATTTACCCAGTGTGATTTTCTTCATATCATTAAGGCTGTAAAGTATTTATCGTGGTGTCTAGAGCATAGTAGGTTCTCTATAAATGTTAGGTATTGTATGATTATCACAAGTGGCAAATACAGCATTAATAGACTAATATTAAATTCAGTGATTCATCTTATTTCTTGCAGTTCTCAGATGAACGTGTGTCCTACTATCTATTTGTGGATAGTCTAAAACCTATTGAACTACTGGTTTGCTTTTCTGCATTGGTACGATGGGGAGAATCTGGAGGTAAGAGAGCTTTAAGAAAATTACAGTCTTAAAGCCCAGTTTACTTTCATTCAGTCCAGGGAAATACAAGATTTTTAAGCTCTGGATGAAGGAATTTATTTCCTCTCCAGAGTCTCTAAGAGAGTCCTCCTTACACCACCTTCTAGGATGCTCTTCCTGCTCAGACATCGTGGGTTATGTTCACTCTTGCTACCCGCACCTCTCCTCGTCTCAGTCCTGTGTTCCCCTCTTCGGCATGCCTACTCACTCTGTTTTTCTTTCCACCTCTACATGTCATCGTTCTTGAGTCTTTCAAGATCTACTGAAAAACATGCACTCTTTCTTTGATTTGACAATTCTGAAGACCTTTTCCTCCATCCCACCTTGACCTTTGTTTTGTTTTCATAATTATATTTTAGAACTTACCTGCCAATAACTGCATCATCACAAGCATCTCCATTTCAGGCTCTGACTACATGCCCTGCCTCTCCAGCTCACTCACCCTAAAACCCTTGCTCCTATAATCCTTTGACTCCTCTGGGACCACCATCCACTGACCCTCCTACTTTTCTCTGTCCTTCCTTTCCTCATGTCCTTATTTTTCTCATCCCCCGGTTTCCATGGCCTGCCATTGTAACGGTAGCCTCGGACATACCTCAGTGCGATTACTCTTCTTACTCTCTCAGCTTACTGTCCTGGCAAAACCCAGATATTGGTTGAATTTGACAGATGAACTCTGCATCTCACCTGTGTGCATCAGAGCAGCTGAATGTGACTGGAGAAAAAATAATCCTATCAGCTAGCCCCACTTTCAACTGAGGGCCACAGATTTCAAAATGGCCCCTAAGCACTGCCAACGTTTCCCTGGTTCATGCATTCTCCACTCTTGTCCTAATGGATGACTATCTCAAACCTCCAGATCTCTCTAGCAGTTGCTCTCATCCCCCTGCATTTTCAGTAAATGACCTTACTGCTATTTTCATTGGAGAGATAGACAAAAATCAGGAATGACCCACCTCATCTTCCCATAACGAGCTCTTCACAATTCTAGTCACCTTCCCTCCTGCTCACATGGATGGACTGTTCTTGCTTCTCTGAGACCAGCCCTTTGCTCATATGTATGTTTGCACAAAACATCATTCTTCAATTTTTTGTCCTGTTTTGTTAAAGTTAAATCTGTTTATTTAAAAACAGATTAAGAAACAGCATTTTTTCCCTTACCAGTCAGTTTTACCTACAGTTTGTTTTTAATCTTACTTGTAGATTTATTTTATTTATTTTTTTTTTAAAGATTTTTATTTATTTATTTATTTGAGAGAGAGAGAGAGAGCACAAGAGGGGGGAGCGGGAGAGGGAGAAGCAGACTCCCTGCCAAGCAGGGAGCCCGATGCGGGACTCGATCCAGGGACTCCAGGATCATGACCTGAGCCGAAGGCAGTCGCTTAACCAACTGAGCCACCCAGGCGCCCACTTGTAGATTTATTTTTAATTAAGATAAACTTGGCTAAGCAGATCACGTTTTCCATTTTAAAGAAAATATGCGTAATCAAAAAGTTTTCTTGATTTTGATAAATAAAATTCAAAATACTACCTCCTATTTCAGATGAAATAAATATTTTTACTGGATTTCCCAAGATCAATCGTGTTAATTCTATGTGATCAATGAAAATCTATGGCTCTTATAGAAAAAGCAAAACCTAAACAACAAAATCAAATTATCTATAACTCAAATTTATAATTCCTCGCACTGTGGAGGTACAATAAATATTTGCTGAATGCTTTTACTATTAAATGTCCTACCAACTGTGACGGCAGGGACTATGATTTTTCACCCAGTTATACCCAATGTTTTGAATGATGTCTGGTGTAGCCATGGGCAATAAATACTTGTTGAATAAATTTGCCAAACTTTAGTGGTATAAGCTTAGTATATCTACTAACTAATAACTCCTAAGCCACGCCATGTCCTAAAACATAAAATTCTATGTGTGTAGAGGTGTTTCAGGTCATGTTTTGCCCTTCTATCTTCAGCTTGAGTGTCATTTGGAAATAGGGTAAAGATATAAGCTAAGATAATTCCTGAAGATGTAATGTACACCAAAGTGACTACAGTTAATGACACTGTATGGTATATTTGAAAATTGCTAAGAGAGTAAATCTTAAAGATTCTCATTACAAGAAAAAAATTGTAAGTGTATGTAGTAATGCATGTTAGCTAAATTTTCACAGTAATCATTTCACAATATATGCAAATACCAAATCATTATATGGTATACCTAAAACTAATACAATGTCATGTGCCGATGTTGTCTCAATTAAATTTTTTTTTTTAATTTAAAAAGTGTTTTGGCCTCACCTACTGATGAAGACTAGTAGATATTCTTTATTCATTTTAAGAGGAACACAATATGAAAATTAAATTTTTGTTCATTTTTGCTATTTCTACACATTGTCAAAGCTAAGAATCAAAAGTAAAACCTAGGGGCCCCTGGGTGGCTCAGTTGGTTAAGCAGCTGCCTTCGGCTTGGGTCATGATCCCAAGTCCTGGGATCGAGCCCCGCATCTGGCTCCATGCTCGGCGGGAAGCCTGCTTCTCCCTCTCCCACTCCCCCTGCTTGTGTTCCCTCTCTCACTGTGTCTTTCTCTGTCAAACAAATAAATAAAATCTTAAAAAAAACATTTAAAAAAAGAGTAAAAACCTGGATTAAACAATGGGATATTTCGACCTTGCTTTGCCACTATCTTAGGAAAATCTCTTATTTTCCCAGATGAGGTGTTTTTCCTCCTTTAAAACTGCATCTAGAGGGATATGGTGATTTCTGTCACAGATGATTAAATGAGACAGTCTTGTCTGTCCTTTTGCTAACTCTCCCATTCCTGGTTTCTTTAGTGAGGAATGATTCTGTGGAGGAAAAGAGGACAGAGAGGAAGACCTGAGTCTCACTTCAGTCTTATTTCCAGTAATTATTTACCCAGAGTATTTTCTCTGGGTTTTATGAATATTTTCAGAAAATCTCTAATTCCTGGTATTATTATTATCATTACTAATGTTGTGAAGGCCAGCTAAACTTTCACAGTCAAATTTTAACATTTTCCGTCTCCTAGCTTTAACAAAAGACAGCCCCCACATAGAGCCTGGACTGCTTACAGCTGAATCAGTTTCTTGGAAATCTCTGAAGCCCCGGGAACTTGTTACGAAGATTCATACGTATGCTACTAAGGCTACAATGGTTCGCCTGCCTGTTGGGTATGGAGTGACTTCATTTTTCCCGTATGAAGAATTTTTGAAGCCTTGTAAACCACTGGCTACCAAATAATTAAACAATATGGGATCTAGGATATTGTCTCCTAAAGTGATTTTGTAAGAAACAGATCTATCATTAAGATTCTTGAGATAGATAATTCCGTGAACAAATAAATTGAAGAAATGCTGTTCAGTAAATCTCCTTTTGGAAGACTCATAATTGTCAAAGTCTGGTAATTTCTTAAGAAAGAATATGGTTTAAAACAGCATTTCCTAAAATTCATTTATTAAACAATCCTTTTTGTTTTCTTGTAAATCTTACATTCCTTGGCAAGAACTATGATTTTATTTAAAAACAGATTGACAAACATAGCATTTCCCCCCCATGGTTTCTATTTTTTTAACCTATGGTTTGTTTTTAATCTTACCTATAGTTTTATTTTTAATTAAGATAAACTTGGCTAAGCGGATCACATTTTCCATTTTAAAGAAAATATGCATAACCAAAGTTTTCTTGATTTTGATAAATAAAATTCAAAACATTACCTCCTATTTCAGATGAAATAATTATTTTTACTGGATTTCCTAAGATCAATCATGTTAATTCTATGTGATCTATTGATCACATAGATCAAAAGCTACAGCTCTTATAGAAAAAGCAAAGTCTACACAGCAAAAACAAATGCTAAAATAATGTGTGCAAGCATCCAGTATTCCTAGAAAGTAATAAATTTTAGAACTTCAATATTTCTCACTTCTACCCTAAAAACTTTGGCATACAGAGATTCTCCCAGAAGTCATTATTCTGGCTGAGTGTCATCCATCAAGACAACCAAGAACAGGGCGCCTGGTGGCTCAGTTGGTCAGGCGATTGCCTTCAGCTCAGGTCATGGTCCCAGGGTCCTGGGATTGAATCCCACATCGGGCTCCCCCTGCTCTGTGGGGAGCCTGCTTCTCCCTCTGCCTCTGCCCGCCACTCCCCCTGCTTGTGCTCTCTCTCTCTCTGTGTCAAATAAATAAATAAAATACTAAAAAAAAGAAAAAGGACAATCAAGAACAGGGAATTAATAAAGAACCTTCTTATATATATATATCCAAGTGTTTTCCCACAGGACGTTACCTATCAGCATGAATGTTTTGAACATGCTCTAAGGGCTCAGTAAATGAGGGGAAATGAGCATCCCTGCTCTCAGTGATACCCCAGCCTGGTAGGAGAGACACAAACAACATAGGTGAAATGACGCATTTGTGAGGAAATGACTATGAAATGAATCTGAAATCTACAAAAGCCCTATAGCACCGCGAATTATTGTTGTTAGGGAAAAACCGAGACCCGTCTCTTGTGATGTGACTGCAGTGCATGGGAGAGATCTCCGGCATGTTAATCATTTAGTGTAACTATTTTGTGTCCCAAATAATTAATGCAGTTAGAGTCCATGACCTCTGATGATTCTTTCAGAGTGAAAATTCAGAGGTCCTTATCCCATCCATGTTAAAAAATTCAACTCTCACTAATGTTTGACTTCATTTGAACACAAGTTGTCATCAAACACCTAACAGAGCTTAGAGCGGCAACAAAGGAGCCTGTGGGTCCTCATGTTTTCCATTGTCTTTAGGAGACATATGCTGCTCTTCACTGCATACTCCCCAGTAGGGCATTCCATACACATCTGCAGCATGGTGACTTTTGTCGTTGGAGATGAAGATGTTGTGCTACCCCACTTTGAGCCGGTAAGTACTTAAGCAACCGTGATTTTTTTTTTTGTGTGTGTGTGTGCCTTTTTTTTCAAAGATTTGGAACTAAATCACATTCCTGTCTTTTATTCAACTTACCCATTTATTTTATTTTATTTTTTTTACCTTTTAAAACTGTTAATTAAGTATATCCTACAAGAAATTCCTCCCCAATGGCATGTACAATACACAGTCTAAACTCTGTAGGGATACAAATAAAATAATTCTCATTTTTCTGCAACAACTGCCTTCACCTCTGCTCTGTGGAATCCCCTGTCATGTCTGTTAACATTTCAGGTAGATCCCATAGCATACTGGTCCTTTGGGATGTATAGAGGATCAGCACAGGCCTTTCCATTAGTTTAAAATTGTGGTATCATATGTTCCTTGTACCCTCTTCCTTGGCCTAAGGAATTTGGAGTGTTTGACTCTGGGATTCAAGGAGGGAGGATCCATGGAAAATTCTGTCATTCTTGTTCATCTCCTCTTCTCTTGGCCTCTTCTTAGTTTCTTTTTCTCCTCTGTTCTGAAGCATCTGAAAGAAGAAACAAGGTAAATGAACCTAGCATTTCCCCTGAGATTCTGTCTTGGTTTTAGACATCCTCCATAACACATCTTCTTTAGATATGTGGGCCTCTGCTTTTGGGGGGCCAATTTGCATGGGGCATTCCCACTGCACAATTCAGTTTTACACCCTCCCCTGAACCCATGTCCATGTAGCACCTCATTGTATTAATGAGGCAGGATCTTCTCACCCAGTTGGTAAACCTCTGGGCCAAGACAGCAGCAAGATGGCTCAGTAGCTCTTTTATGTTAATGTTGCTGTGGCCCAGACATGCTCAGTCATGAATTCTTGCCTCTCTGGGCGGTGGTTGTGCAGGATTCCCTATGGCTGCCTCCTCTCTGCTGTGCTGTTTCTCACCAGTCCTCTCCTTCCTGTTCAATAGAAAGAAGATCAACAAGCCCACCTTATAAGTGCATGTCTCTTATTCCCTTAATTATGTTTATTCTGCTTATTTAAAATTCTTGTTTAATCTTTTCTTTGTTTTCTTTAAAAAAATAATTCTGCTTTAGGTAGTATGGACTATCCAGTTTGTCTCTTTCTTTAGATGACTTAACTTCATAGGTGTTTAGTTATTTTGGTCTGTGAACCCATCTGTCCCTGGGGTTATCAATTCCTCCATCTTGTAAAAATTATTGGACCTGAAAGCCAGGCCCTATTATTCTTCAGTTCTAATGAAGAAGCAAGAGATAGACTAGTCCAAGAGAAGAGAGACTCAAGCTCCTCAGAGCCATACAGGATCACTCCCAGTGCTGCCTCTTGACCAGACAATTTTTCTGGTCATAGCTTCACGTCAGGGAGAAACACCAAGCTTTCTCTAGGCTTTCAGACATTGGGGGAGAAGGTAATAGAATGGTAAATGCATTAAGGGGGCAAGTCAGTTGCATCTGTCTTCATCAGCAGGAGATCTGTACTTGTCTAGGCATTGGGCCATTCCTCAAAATCTCTGCAGGGAACTAAGGAGCAATGATGGCACCATGGTGCTCCCTAGGAAAGGAGCAAAAACACAAAGTTTTGCTTCAACTTCACCCTCTTCATGCTGTCTGAAATCACCCTCTGCTCTGGGCAGCTCATCGTCTACCCACTACACACCAAAAGAATTTTCAAACTCCTCAGGGTTCTCTTCCTCACTCTCCCACTTTCTCCCCCACCCCTACACTGACTCTCTTTTTGGTTTTGACCTACAGATTTGCAATTTGACATCCAATTTCTTTCTTCCACCAGCTTTATTGAGGTAAAACAGGCAAATAAAATTGTAAGTTATATAAACTGTACATCGTGGTGATTTGATATACATAAACATTGTGAAAGGATCCCCACCATCTAGTTAATTAACACAACCATCACCTCACATACTTATCTTTTTTGTTGTTGTTGACAACATTTTTTTTGGGTGACATTTGAGTTCTATTACTCTTCACAAATATCAATTACACAACACAGTGCTATCAACTATAGTCACTATGGTATACATGTAGATCCTCAGACCTTATTCAACTTACAGTTGAATGTGTGTACCCTTTTACTAACCTTTCCTTAGTTTTCCCACTCCCTAGCCCTTGACAACCACTTTTCTACTCTCTGTTTTTGAGTTTTTTTGTTTGTTTTTAAATATTCCACATATAACTGATACCATGCAGTATTTGTTTTTCTCTGTCTGGTTTATTTCACTTGGCATAGTGTCTTCAAAGTCCATCTATCCATATTGTCACCAATGGCAGGATTTCCTTCTTTCTCATGGCTAAATAATATCCCATTATCTCTGTGTGTATGTATGTATGTGCGTGTATATATATATATTATATATATGTGTATATATTACACATATACACTACAGCTACACACACACACACACACACACACACACACTGCATCTTCTCTATCCATTCATACATTGATGGACACTTAGGTTGTTTCCATTTCCTGGCTGAAGTGTATAATGCTGCAATGAATATGGGGATGCAGATATATTTTCAATGTCCTGTTTTCATTTCCTTTGTTATACACCCAAAAGTAAGATTGCTAGATTAGATGATAGTTCTATTTTAAATTTTTTGATGAATTTCCATACTATTTTCCATGTCCCTATCTCCTTTTTGCTTTTATTGTCTCCTCAGAGTCCATAGCAGGAGGGAGCCAGAAGCAGGAGGGAGCCAGTTCACCCTCTTATCTTTTTAATCTTTATCACTCCCTCCCTGAACTCTTCTCTGCCCATCAGTTCTCCAATCCCACACAATTTTTTCAAAGTAATTCCTAGACATCCTTCAGAACTACGTCTGGGTATTAATACTGTGGCAAAATTTCCCCTGGCTCCCAATATGAGGTAGGTGTTCTTCCCATGTGTTCCCACTACAGCAGGGATTATATCCCTTGTTTTATATCTTTGAGATCATAGACCCCAGGAAAATGCTTTGATCAAGCAAGCGTTTCATAAATAACTATTTAATCAACCATATAGAAGAGGTTTACTCTATTAACTGAAATTAAATTTTTGTAAGCTTAATTACACTTAAATAAAAAAGAAAGTGAGGCTGGCTGCTATGCTTTGTCTTCACAGGAGAGCTACCGATTTACAGAGCAGTCTCTAATGATTTTGAAAGCTGTTGGAAATGTGATTGTTAGTTTCAAAGATAAGGGTAAACTCTCCGTGGCTCTGAAGGATTTACAAGCAGCTCACTACCCTATACCCCTCCACAATAAAGAACTAACTTCACAGCACTTCAGGGTAAGCACATTTAAGTTATGTTTCTAGAAGGATACTTTCTATTTGAAAAAAATACTTATATTAGGTGATCCCCAAAATTTAACCTTTAAAAAGACTTACATACATTTCCAAAACAAAGAGAAAGAACTTGCAACTGCACGTTTTCTAAAGTGGTATCTAAGAAAAAGGGAGGGAAAAAGTTTATTCCTTCATTTTCCATAGAGAGAATTAAGCCTTGCTTTTGTAATTTGTATTTGCCCTTATAGTATCTTGTATTCTATCTGGCAACGCTACCTGGGACACAATCACTCCTAATTGAGAACTGCTCACTTAAAACATGAATAATCTGCAAGAAATACCTGCCATGATTTACTCTTCAACCAATCTGATTTCCTCCCTTAAGTGAACTCTGTTATCCATTCTTGAAGGTGATGGCTCTAGATGGCTTAAGACAGTGTTCACAAGCTCTAAAAATAAGCAAATAATTAAACCATCATATGACAAGAAAGCTATGGTCTCCCCTTCTACAGCTAGCCCCTAAGGCCATAGCTGGTATTCAACATCTCTCTCCTCTACCACCCATTCTAGATTTCCCCTTTTTTCCAGCCAAAGCTCCAGCTGTTCTGGTTGCCCGGTGGGTGACCTAGACCTTCAATCCTGATGAGCACAAGACCTTGATTGCCTTACTCTTTTCAGGCTGTGATTAATCATTCACTGCGGAAGCACCAAGAAGTGTCCCAGCAAATTCAGACATAATTCTTCCTGTCCCCATTATGCAGCAGAAACCCTAGTACTTCATGACAATCAGAGTAAATTCTCCCTCCACACCATTATATTTGTTCCTTTTTTCCTATTTGTATACCAGAATGAGAAGCTCAAAGCAACCAGGCATATATCATAACTTAGGTTTATTGTAAATCATATCGTGTTCCCTGATGGAAACATTCCTTGCCCTCCATCCCCAGGAATTAGGTCCTCCAATTTAGCAAACTGCATGTTGGGACAGGGAACGCTAATTATTGCAAGTGGGCCACTGGAAATAATGGTGAGAGAGGCCAATCCTACTTCCAATCTTTGAATCCCAGGCCTGTATGTCTTAGATTTTACAGATATAGCAGTGGATGTTGGTCTTTGGTTCTGTTCATATATACCGTGCCCTGGAGATACCCTGTCAGTTCTCCAGGATGTCATCTCCAGGCTGGCCCCTTAGCTGAGGCTTTTATATGCCGTTCCAGTTTGCCAGGAATTTTATCAATTCTTTCTATGGTATATATTAGGACCATTGAGTCCCAAACATTCTCCAGTGGTTAAATCTCCTCCGTATAATGAGACCCTTGGTCCAAGGGGGATGTTAGGTTGGATCTGATGTTTGTAAATCAGATTTTCTGTAACCCCTTGGGTAATAATGCTGGCAGAGGTACCAAGGAAAGAGAAAGCAAACTCATATTTGAGGTAGGTGTCAATGCTAGGAAGGACGCTTGGGGACAGGAAGAATGATGTCTGAATTTGCTGGGACACTTCTTGGTGCTTCCGTACCTCCTTGATAGAAGCCCACTGAACTAAACTTGCCACCACGTGCTGACTGGAATCCCCAGAGGATGATATTGTATTAAAGTTTCTGCTACTGACAGATTAGACTGCTAAGCCTGGGTGAAAGAGAGCCCAAACTATTGGAACCATTCGTAGTTCCTGTCCCTGAGTACTTGTGCATGAGTCTGTTGTTGCTACGCCAGATCTAATATGTAAAGGACCTTTGTGCATGCTTCACTTACACAGAAGGGAGCTATTTTCGTAATGAAATACTTTAGATTTTTAAATATTTTTATACTTTTGTATTACGTAGTTATGTGACATTTCTTCAGAGCCACATCCCATAAATCAATACATTTCAAATTTGTCTACCATAAACAATTCCAGATGGATCAGTTGCAGCATACTATAAGTATCCCATAGATAAGGACTCTCTCACTAATAAATAGCATTAGTGTGTTTTCTGGGAGGTCCTTCATTATCATGCTTACAAAACAATTGGTGCTCAAATCTCCCACAGATCTTTCTCTTGCTTTGGATCCTGCTCAAAGCTGATGGCCTTTTAAGTCACTCAGTAAATGCATTGGAATAATATTCCCCAAGCAGAATATTCTATCACCAACTCCAGAGAAGACTATCAAGGATTGGCCTCTTTCTTAGTTGCAGTGTCTTATCCTTTACTTTAGAGGGGATGTTCCAGCATGCCTAATCCTCTGGACCCCTGAAATCACTGGTGTGGTGAATCCATGAATCTGTGTGAGGATTATTCCCCACTCTCTAGCATGCACGTGTCTTAATCAGGAAGTCAGAGTAATGGTCCCTTCCTGCCCACAGGTCTGAGTTCACTGCGGTCATCAACATCCACATGTAGCCCAGAGTGATGTCCTGTAGAACACCAGAGTGATGTCCTGTAGAACACCAACATGAACACTTAAATGTAACAGAGAGTAGGAGGATTAACATAATCATGTATTTTTCTTATTTTTATCCTAGACACTGAAATACTTAGAGCATTTTATTAGCATGTCACAAAAAACACATCTAACTCATTTAAGTCATAACAAGGAGCTGGATGTGCTAATTTCTTATAAGAATATAGGGAAATCTTGACACCCAAGGATAGGAATGACTCAGTGCGGAACTTCAAAGAGGGGATAGACAGCCCTTTGAACGTATCTTCTTCATTTTGTTTTTCTCCTTATAGACTTGTTATCTCTACTCCTAAGTTCATATCATGGAAAAACTGACTCCTGACTTACATCACTTTCCCATATGAGTCCAGTTTAGAATATCTTGATCCTGATCTCAAATTATTCAACCAAAGTAACAATGATTTGCTCAGCTTGGGTTAGGTGGTTTCTTACAGGCTTATCCACCATTGTCAGTTGATGGGGCAGTTATAAATATAGATTATGAGATTAGGTTCCCAATATGGGGAGGCACCCCTCTGGAGTAGTCAGAAAATGTGGACTAAGCAGGAAGTACAATAGTCATGTCTTTGAAGAGCACTGTATTTCACCAATTCTAAGATGCACATTTCTTTTCACACTTTAACATGAGAAGGAAATTAGAGTGTGTCTTATAATTGGTGGTTCCTTATAATCATTACTGGCCAGGTAGCCTTCAGAATTCTCTACACACACAGGGGCATGTTCATAAGGGTTCATACTGTTACCGCTTCAAAAGAAATATGTGTATTTTTTGGACAAAGTCCTAATCTTTGTGGGAAGAGAATTAAATGACATTAGAGAGCCTCTCAAAGAAACATGAAAGCAGAGGGATTTTCCCTACACCAGACTGACACCCCCCTCCCCTGAACCCCTCCCCCTACCGAGGCACAGGGAAAGAGAGAGAAGGAGAGGAGAACCTGGCTAAAAATCACCTCAAATGGTGTCCCAGGCACCTTACATAATCCACTAAGTACATTACTCCCTGTGGACAAATAAATAGCTAAAAGTAAGCCAGCAGCAGGGTGCTGGGGCTTGGTGGTTACTCTCAGTGGCATGAGTAGATAAATGGAATCCCTCAGAATTTCAAGATAAAAACTATGAAAAAACTTGGAAGAAGGAATATGTGTTCTGGTTATGGTCTAAAAACCTTCCATGGGTCCTCTTTGGTAGGATCAGGAATAAGCCAGCGCCAACACTTACTGAATGGGGGTCGGTGGTTTGAGTGAAACCCCAGGGACAAAAGTAGAATGCACTCTAGGCAATGGTGCATCTTCAAAGCTTGACAACATAAAGGACAAAATTATATAGGAAAACACAGATGTTAAGTATTTTCAAAAAGTGATTTGCAAGAGTAAGAGTTTGAATATAAATGTTTTCAGAATACTTAACCAACTTATGTGGCTTCTTTAATTTTTTTCATGTATGTTTCAGTGTGATGTATGACAAAAAAGCTCTGTCTAAATAAATCTACAAGAGTTTTTTCAGTAGGAAGTAAATACTCAGATGAAAATAAGAAAGTGATAAAAAGTCTAAGCAACATTCTTTTTTGGTAATACATGAAACAATAGTGTGTCTTATAGTGGATGGTGTTTTAGAACCAATGAAATATAGTATTTAACTTGCTTAAACACAAAGGCCATATTTTTCATCTTATGCTATATCTCTTCAATCAGTTATATTCTGAGTGTACATTATAAACATTATAGTGATTAAATTTTATTAAATTAGAAATGGTAAGGTGATAAATAATTTTGCTCTCTTCCTGGGTGAATGAGACTTCAAGATCTTCTGTTATATTGTGCATCTGAAAAATATGTATTTTTATTTTTAGAGTATTTAAAGTTTTATACTTTAATTTGAATACACTTCAAATGCATTCTGTGCTCTCTAAATGTAACATTACCTGGCAATGTTATTTTCTTGGTTTAAAAAACGTTAATGTTATTTTCTTGGTTTAAAAAAGTGGACTAACATATTTTATCTTTTTCAGGTTTTTCATATTTCTTTATGGCGTTTAATGAAAAAAATTCAACCAACAAAACTTCCTCCCAACTTTAAATTTGCATTTCGTGCTATGGTTTTGGATTTGGAGTTACTCGATTTCTCCTTAGAAGAGGTTTCTTTAGGTACTGAATAATTTAGATATTTGTTTGACAAAGGACTTTCTAGCCTTATAGAAGAGAAATAATTTGAGAAAAGCACAAAGATTTTGTGGAGTAGGTAGACTAGGTCTATACCAAACAGGTGGAGAACTCAAGCTGTGCTCTGGGAAGCCCATGGTCTCCAACGATCTGCCTGTGTCCCCAACTTCACATATTTCCATGGAAGCCCAGAATTCCCCTGTTTTATTTGTTTCTTCCCTGAAAGACTATGAAAGTCGCTAACATTTACGATATGATTAGAGGAATTCTGGGAAGATCTTCAGATCCAAGGAACCCTCCTTTCCCACTCTCCCAATGCTCTACTCACGCAATTTTAACATTTTCTTTCAGTTTTGAGAGAAACCCCTTACTATTTTCACAGAAGAATTCATAGTAGCTCACTCAGTATGTAGTGTTTCCTTTCTCCAGAATGTTTACGTTCTAAAAAAAGGGCCACCTGCAGAGCACAATATTAAATACAAAGACAAATCTATCATTGTGGCACTTTATATGTCAGGGGACTTTAGCAGTTAAAGGTATTGAAAACTGGGGAAAGGATTAAATACTTTAACTTAACTTTCAGTCCAAAATTTGTTTTTCTCTTTCCAGCGGAATGGGTCGACATTAAATACTGCCTACCAGTAAGTGATAAAGAATATTCTCCTGAGGAAGTAGAAGCAGCAATTAAAATTCAAGCCATGTGGAGAGGGACTTATGTCAGATTGCTTATGAGAGCTAGAACACCAGGTACCCTTTTCCAGTCATTTATAAAATAAACTTCTGTATGTAAGAATGAATATTTGTGTGCTAATGAAAAACATTTTGGAGTTATCTTACTTTATTATTGGGCTAATTCTTTGTAATTCTATAAATATTGAAATTCCTTGAGGTCAGAATGCATGTCAGGACACTCACTCTCTAGCTCCCAGAATTTAGCACAGTGCCTGGCACAGAGTAAGCACACAACAAATACGTGCTGGAAGAAAGAATGAGGGACTCAGTGAATGATCAGCTATGTCTCCCCAGTCTGTTGTGAGTCTTACAGCACAGAGAACTAGTCTTTTCCTCTATGCATCTCCAATGTCTAGCAGAATGCTACAGCAGTCAGCTTCAGCTAAGCTGTGGATATTTTTACATTTCTAGATCATTTTTCAAAGAAATAAATGAATGAGTAAATGAATGAATGAGTTGAGTGAAAGAAGCTTTCATGTGTCCATGTGGCATACATTTACAGAGCACAGAATGCATTTGAAGTGTATTCTAGCTATTAAATCAACTTATCAGTATATTCTATTAAATCAAAATATGTATGTATAATAAACTATTTTTGTGAAAAAGGTTATTTTATTTTAGCTTTTTATCAGCTTAAAATAAAACACCGCAGTGGCAAAAATTATATTTAATCATTTTCATTCTGCAGTTTTTGTTTATAAGAAAAGGCTTATCTCCAATAGAATTTTTTTTAAGATTTTATTTATTTATTTGAGGAGGGAGAGAGAGAGAGAAAGAGAGAGAGAGCTTACGAGTGCACAAGTGAGGGGAAGGGCAAAGGGAGAGGGAGAAGCAGACTCCCTGCTGAGCAGGGAGCCCAACTCTGGGCTCAATCTGATTCGGGACCCTGGGATCATGACCTGAGCCGAAGGCAGACGCTTAATTGACTGAGCCACCCAGGCGCCCTCCAATAGAATTCTTTGAATGTACTGAAACATTTTGTTGTAAAGTGTCTCTATTTAAAGTATTTATTTATTTATTTAATTTATTTTTTTTTTAAGATTTTATTTATTCATCTGACAAGAGAGAGACATAGCGAGAGAGGGAACACAAGCAGGGGGAGTGGGAGAGGGAGAAGCAGACTTCCCGCAGAGCAGGGAGCCCGATGTGGGACTCGATTCCAGGACCCTGGGATCATGACCTGAGTCGAAGGCAGACGCTTAACGACTGAGCCACCCAGGCGCCCCTCTATTTGAAGTATTTAATGAGAATAATCAAAATGTTCATCTGAGCAGGAAAAACTACAGATACACAAATGTAAAGTAAATAAACTGCATTGTATAGTTGTGTGAGAGAAAAATATTACTGTTGCTTGATTTTGATATTATTCTATTAGAAAAAGTAAAGATAGATTTATCAAATTAAATATATAGTAAAATATACTTTTTGTTGTCCACATATGCTGTAAAAATTATATTCAAACAATGATTTTCTTTCTCTTTTTAGACACAAAAACTTGAAGAACTTAATAATGTTTTAATAATATTTGCATTTCTTTCACTCAATGAATATTTATTGAATAACTTGTGTGCACAGCACTGTTCTAAATTCTGATTTTATTGAAGTCAGTTAAACCGACAGAGTTTCTGCTTTGATGAATCTTGTGTTCTAGTGGTGGTAGACATACAATAGACAAGTAGATATATTAAGATATCAATTTCAGATTCTAGTAAGTACTATGAAGAAATTAAAATAGGATAATTAGGGAAAAAGTCAGTTTCTGACTTGTTAAATTTGAGCCACTTACTATGGATTTGCATTTTTCTGACCAAATCATCTAGTCCTAAACAAATGTGGATTATGGGACTGAGTTTTAGTGGGATCCCATTAGCTGTTGTTTTTTAGAAAAATTGAATGAATTATTTTTTGTCATAAGAGCTTGCATAAAGAACTTTTAGTGTGATAAAAGATCTCCTGATGTAAACTCTTTGATGAGAATGTTCAATTAGATCAAAGAACACTTTATGATGTCACTGAAGATGAAGGAAAACAGCACAAATCGATGAGCAGAGCTGTTGACTAGAAGTTTATAGCTTTATATTTTAACATAATTTTGCTGCTAATAAAGCCTATGGCTTTGGATACCACCTTGTGAATTTCAGCTTCTTTATCTGTAAAAGGAGGGCTTTGAACAAGATGATCTTTCAGGCATCTTGCAATTTTTATATTGCTATTTTTAATTATTATTTTTAGACACAAAGGAAAATAACAGTGTTGCAGATATTCTTCAAAAAGTTTGGAGTATATTGGAACTGAATATAGAACAGTATGCAGTTTCTCTCTTAAGGTAAGGCAGCATAATGAAATTTCTTATTGTAGTATCTTGGTATCCTTCAAGTTCCTGTTCAAGTGCTACCATGTTCATTTGAGTTTTCCTAATCACTGCAGTGGGAAACACCGCTTCTTCTGAACTTCCACAATATTTTATCTGAAGCATTTCTATGGTACTTACTACTTTTGGTTTGTCTTAATTATACTTAACTAATATTCTAAGCAGAAAACCTCTGAGAAGCAGAGCAAAGTTTCTTGAAGTCTTATGGTGTTGAGGTGACCACGGTCAGAATTTGGGACCTACTAGGGGAGGGGACTGCAGCAAACAATTGAAATTGTCAGTTGAAATCCCTGGACAGTAACACTCTAGAAACAGGGGTAAACCAGAAGTAGACTGAGCCTCAGCAAAACTACTGTAGCCACAAACCATATCTGAGCGACAGGATAATCTGAACAAAACTGAGAAATTATAAATTATATGTGTATATATACACACACACATACAGACATATTTAAAAGAGGCAAACCCTCTGGTGATGTTGGAGTTAGCAGACAAAATCTCACAACGTAACTGTAATGGAAATGCCAAAGAAAATAAAGAATAAGGAGAAAATAGATCGAAAGTTTAGATTAATAAAGCTGAGTCAAATGGAAATTACATAAATGATGATTTTTTTTTTAGATAATGGTTTTTATTTAACACCACACTATTTATTAAGGTCATTAATTTATCCTAACTGTTTAGTTAGATAAATTTTGCTAATTAATTACACATACTCATAAAACTACTGCAAAAACATGATACAGAATATTTCCATCACCCACAAAGTTTTGTTTCTGCTCTTTTATATAACTCATCCCTTCCCAACAAGAAACCTACACTCTGAGTTTCATCACTATAGATTAGATTTGATTGTTCTTCAATTTCATATAACTGAAATCACACAGCATGTGCTCTTTTGTGTTTGGTTTATTTCACTCAGAAATATTTCTGAGATTTTTAACAACTGAAATTAAAAACTTATTTGTAGATTTAACAGCAGATTAATCAGAACAGATGAAGAGATTGGTGAACTTGGAGATAGGTCAATAGAAAAGTATCCAAACTGAAGCATAGAAGAAAGCGAATGGGAAGTAAGAAAACAACATAAGGGACACGTGGAATATGCTCAGAAAGTCCAATATTGTCATTATAGCCCCAGACTGTAAAAAGATAATAACTGAGAACTTTCCAAAACTGGTAAAACACATCAACTCATGTTTTCAGGAGACTGCATGCAAACTCCATGCAGAAAGCCTACAAAGTAAAGTATTCCTAGACTAATTGCAGTGAAACTACTGAAAAACAAAGGCCAAAAGAAAAACCTTCAAATTGGCCAGAAAAATAATGCATATTATCTTCAAAGGGCAATCAACAAATAGCTACATATAAGAATAAATTCATGACCTTAAGCAATGAGAAATGTAGAAGTTAGGTATAAGGTTTTAAAGAGTTCTAAGGTTATAGTATTATTGCAGAAATGGTAAAAGTAATAATTTAGATGAAACTCTAACAGGGGAGGGATGCATGGTATCCTTTCTAGCAATATACTAATGAACAGCTAGTGAATTTAGGAAGAGATAAGATTAATCTCACAAATCTTCTAGAGAACAGAAAAAGAGGAAACACTAACCAATTCATAACCTTGACTTAAAAAATTCAACAAGGACAGTAAGAAAATGAAATTGCAAACCAGTCACCTTCAAATTGCAAACCAATCACCCTTTTGAATAGATGCAAAAGATGTGTAATAAAATATTAGTAAATCAGAATCCATCGTCTCTCATGGTTCATCTCCCCCTCCGATTTCTCCCCCTTCATTCTTCCCCTCCTGTTACTTTCTTCTTCTTCTTCTTTTTTTTTTTTAACATACAATGTATTATTTGTTTCAGTGGTACAGATCTGTGATTCAGCTGAGGGTTCTAGGGGGAGAGGGGTGGGAGGATGGGTTAGTCTGGTGATGGGTATTAAAGAGGGCACGTTCTGCATGGAGCACTGGGTGTTTACGCAAATAATCATGGAACACTGCATCAAAAACTAATGATGTAATGTATGGTGATTAACATAACATAAAAAAAATTTTTTTTAAATGAAAAGAAATTAGTAAATCAAAATTGGAATTAAATAAAAAGGATAATGCCTTATAATCAAGTAGGCCTCTCATTTCCAGGTATACAATGGTGGTTTAACGTTAGAAGATTTGTCATTTTAATTCAGTACATTAACAGGGAAAAGGAACAAATCACTTGGTCCTCCAGATAGAATCGGAAAAAACATTTGATAGAATTTAACACAAATTCAAAATTATTTAATTATTTATTTTTTGTTTTTAGAAAACTTGGACTTTTAGAGAAGAAAACTTTTCGAGAAGTCTTTCATTAATATGTTATTGGTATCTGGTATTTTCAAAACTTACTACAAACATGATTAGTGGTGAAATTTTGAAAGAATTTTCCTGGGTTTAGAAATGAGACAAAAATGTCTGCCTGATGACTTTCATTCACAATAATCCTGGAATAATTCTGAGAAGAACAAAATGGCAATAAAGCAAAGTAAAAGTCATTAGGATTTGAAGGGAAAAAATAAAACCACCACTGTTCACAGACGATATGATTGTATATGTAGAAAATATTTTTTTTAATTAATTTATTTGATAGAGAAAGAGACAGCAAGAGAGGGAACACAAGTAGGGGGAGTGGGAGAGGGAGAAGCAGGCTTCTCGCCCAGCAGGGAGCCTGATGCGGGGCTTGATTCCAGGACCCTGGGATCATGACCCGAGCCGAAGGCAGACGTTTAATGACTGAGCCACCCAGGAGCCCCGGTAGAAAATATTTTAAAATCTGCAGAAAAATTATTAGAGTTAGAGAATTAAAGAAAAGTTGCTGGAGACAAGGTCAATATAAAATAACAATTGGATTTCTACTTATAAGCAACAAATAGAAAATTATATATGAAAACATATAAAAACGTAAAATAACCTAAAAATAATGAAAAAAATTCACAATGAAACAAATATAAAAATTTTAAACATAGAGAAAATCCAAATCTATACGGTACTTGCCTAACCCTGAGGGTAAGTGTCCCGTTCACCTCACCCTAGTCCTGGCCATGGACACTGCCATTACTTGATCATCCAGCTTGACTGACTTGCACACATCTTTCAGCATCAGACCTAATGCTAACCCTTGCTATACTAATTATCAGGTGTGGGACCTGGGGTAAGTCTCTTATCCTCTCTAAAGTTGAAATTAAAATTTTATTAATAATATTTAATATTTTATTAATAATATTTAATATAAGGAAATCATTTTAATATAGGGAAAACAATATCTCTCTCATAGTACTATTTTTTTGTAAGGCTGTAAAGATAAATAAAAAGAACATTTCCTGTGTTCTTAACACCAAACTACAGATTGAGTCATTACAGGGCGTTAGCTATTGTAAATATTACTTTATTATTACTACTAAATGGGAAACTGAGGTCCTGGAATCCAGCCTTACATTCTCAGATCTTAAGGGGTAGAACTTTCCCAAGTGAACTTTGGGCAAGGCTCAGTTTACTGATGTAACTTTCTTTCTGTACTAGGATGCAAAGTTAAAAGAAAATCTTTCAAGTCTGTCAGGAATATTTCTCTGGGTCATTCAAGATATTCCATATACATCAGGGTTTTGATGGCACTATATGCATTAGAATTTCCTGAGGCTATGAAAAAGTGTGGGATGTATGATGCGAACAATGACTGGAATACCTCTAAATCCCTGCCTTATCTTAGAATGGCAGCTGGTCCCATTACAGTCAGTTCCCTAAGTAGCCTGTTCAGCTGCTGCATTGGCTCAGCCAACACCCACATGTGGATTCGACCAGCCCCCATGTGATTGGCAGTGATGCTTTGCATTGACAGACCACCACATTAGAGTTCCCAGTTAGGGTAATCAGGTTACTGATCATTTGAACTGGGATACTTTTACAAAAGGGACAGAGGGAGCACTATTAATAATTACGACAGGATTATGAGTATAAACCAGGACTACCCCAGGCAAACCAGGATATTTGGTCAATCTTTGTTCTCATAACTTACCTACAAGGCTTAAAACTCTCCCAAGTATAAATCTGTCAATTTCCTCCCATCAAAGGCCAGTGATCAAATGGAGGATGTGAATCCTAACCCCCATAACAATCTCCATGGCTTTGCTTCTTACTGACGATACAGTCAAGCCATCTGCCTTCTGGAAGGCAAGAAAACCTCTAGATCTGCCTAGACCTCTAATACAAAACCATTTTCTATTGGCCATTATGGCTTCCATCCCAGCTAAATCCATAGATGTTATACAAAAGACCCTAGATTGCTGGTGCTACTGAAGCTAGATCCAGTTCCTGGCCGTGGAAGGGAAAGAACCTAGAACATCTCTCACGTGACTTCCATCATGTTCTGAAATATGCCACAGCCTTCCAGGGGGCAAACATGGAGAAACCTCAATCCATAATTCTTTTAACCAGTTGCACATACCACTCTTTTATGTGCCAAAAATCACATAGGAGGAACACTGACGTTCTCCCCTTGATCATGGCCTTAGATTTTTTTTTTGTTTTAATCCCTTTTTACAAATCCATTCCTTACTTTAAACTCCATTCTAGTATCGATTCCCATATCCGTTCCAGACCTTGAGTGGCCCCCACCCAGTTTCATTGCTACTTTGCCTGTTCCTGTTTTCCTACCGTTATAGTTTGAGCTTTGTTGCTGATTTCCCACCTATAAACTGTAGTTACTTTCTTGATCATGAATTAAGATCTCCTTTGATTAAGACCTTCAGATAACTTTAGAGACCTTTGAGAGACATCTTTCATGGTTGACCTACAATGGGCTCCCCTACCTGGGTGCCATGCACTCTGAACCCCACAGCTTTTGATCAAGGCCTCAATCCAGCCAACAGCAGACTGTGATATTTTATGTTATTTTGTCTACTTCCTTTTTTGTAAGTAAAATTTATTTTAGAAGTTGCCTTTGTCATTGGAACTTACATTATTTTTACATTTCTAGACTAATGTTTAAAAGCAAGTGCAAGTCTATTGAATCTTACCCATGCTATCAAGATGAAGAAACTAAGATTGTTTTTGCTGACTATACTGTGACTTATGCAGACCAGCCACCAAATAGTTGGTTTATAGCATTCAGGTGAGGCTGTCAGAAATCGGCATATGATATCATCTTTTTTTTTTTAAAGATTTTATTTATTTATTTGAGAGAGAGGGAATGAGAGAGAGCACATGAGAGGGGGGAGGGTCAGAGGGAGGAAGCAGACTTCCCGCAGAGCAGGGAGCCCGATGTGGGACTCGATTCCAGGACCCTGGGATCATGACCTGAGTCGAAGGCAGACGCTTAACGACTGAGCCACCCAGGCGCCCCTCTATTTGAAGTATTTAATGAGAATAATCAAAATGTTCATCTGAGCAGGAAAAACTACAGATACACAAATGTAAAGTAAATAAACTGCATTGTATAGTTGTGTGAGAGAAAAATATTACTGTTGCTTGATTTTGATATTATTCTATTAGAAAAAGTAAAGATAGATTTATCAAATTAAATATATAGTAAAATATACTTTTTGTTGTCCACATATGCTGTAAAAATTATATTCAAACAATGATTTTCTTTCTCTTTTTAGACACAAAAACTTGAAGAACTTAATAATGTTTTAATAATATTTGCATTTCTTTCACTCAATGAATATTTATTGAATAACTTGTGTGCACAGCACTGTTCTAAATTCTGATTTTATTGAAGTCAGTTAAACCGACAGAGTTTCTGCTTTGATGAATCTTGTGTTCTAGTGGTGGTAGACATACAATAGACAAGTAGATATATTAAGATATCAATTTCAGATTCTAGTAAGTACTATGAAGAAATTAAAATAGGATAATTAGGGAAAAAGTCAGTTTCTGACTTGTTAAATTTGAGCCACTTACTATGGATTTGCATTTTTCTGACCAAATCATCTAGTCCTAAACAAATGTGGATTATGGGACTGAGTTTTAGTGGGATCCCATTAGCTGTTGTTTTTTAGAAAAATTGAATGAATTATTTTTTGTCATAAGAGCTTGCATAAAGAACTTTTAGTGTGATAAAAGATCTCCTGATGTAAACTCTTTGATGAGAATGTTCAATTAGATCAAAGAACACTTTATGATGTCACTGAAGATGAAGGAAAACAGCACAAATCGATGAGCAGAGCTGTTGACTAGAAGTTTATAGCTTTATATTTTAACATAATTTTGCTGCTAATAAAGCCTATGGCTTTGGATACCACCTTGTGAATTTCAGCTTCTTTATCTGTAAAAGGAGGGCTTTGAACAAGATGATCTTTCAGGCATCTTGCAATTTTTATATTGCTATTTTTAATTATTATTTTTAGACACAAAGGAAAATAACAGTGTTGCAGATATTCTTCAAAAAGTTTGGAGTATATTGGAACTGAATATAGAACAGTATGCAGTTTCTCTCTTAAGGTAAGGCAGCATAATGAAATTTCTTATTGTAGTATCTTGGTATCCTTCAAGTTCCTGTTCAAGTGCTACCATGTTCATTTGAGTTTTCCTAATCACTGCAGTGGGAAACACCGCTTCTTCTGAACTTCCACAATATTTTATCTGAAGCATTTCTATGGTACTTACTACTTTTGGTTTGTCTTAATTATACTTAACTAATATTCTAAGCAGAAAACCTCTGAGAAGCAGAGCAAAGTTTCTTGAAGTCTTATGGTGTTGAGGTGACCACAGTCAGAATTTGGGACCTACTAGGGGAGGGGACTGCAGCAAACAATTGAAATTGTCAGTTGAAATCCCTGGACAGTAACACTCTAGAAACAGGGGTAAACCAGAAGTAGACTGAGCCTCAGCAAAACTACTGTAGCCACAAACCATATCTGAGCGACAGGATAATCTGAACAAAACTGAGAAATTATAAATTATATGTGTATATATACACACACACATACAGACATATTTAAAAGAGGCAAACCCTCTGGTGATGTTGGAGTTAGCAGACAAAATCTCACAACGTAACTGTAATGGAAATGCCAAAGAAAATAAAGAATAAGGAGAAAATAGATCAAAAGTTTAGATTAATAAAGCTGAGTCAAATGGAAATTACATAAATGATGATTTTTTTTTTAGATAATGTTTTTTATTTAACACCACACTATTTATT